GATGTATGTGTAGTGTGGCATTGCTGTTACTGAAAATAAAGTGCATGGCCATTATGCAATGTCATGATTCATGGTGGAGAAAATAATTATAATTGTGGGACCACTTTTCTGCTGGCCCTGGTAGTATCTGTCATATTTGCTCCACTGGCTCATTGAATAGTCCCTTTTTGAGACTTTGGGATACTTTGTAATACTTTGTCTAGCAATTTAGTTGTAATTGCTGTTTTTTCTAGCAAATACAGCAGCTCAGTTTGATTTCAACCACACACTCTTATTACAGGATATCTAAAGTGTATTCAGGGCTGGGTATGTGATGTAATTTGGCAAATATGATACATTTAAGAAGTTATTGCAATATTTAATACAACATTTAAAATTCTGTAATACATACATAAGAAATATTAATTGATCGGGTAAAAATTCACTGTTTCTTGTTGTCTGGAAGATAATTGGCACAATTGCAGTGATGTCATGAAAGGTTTATGACAATGTTAACTACCGTATATTCTCATGTTCAAAAGAAGTTTTTAAGTCCAAAATTATGGTCCTTGACATAACCCATGGATACAAATGTTGGATATATATATATATATATATATATATATAGTTGGCCCTCTATATCCATGGATTCTCCCTTCATCAATTCAATGGCCCCTTGAATGCAACTATAAGGCTGATGTGGTCCTTGATGAAAATGAGTTTGACATCCCTACATTAAAGGATGCAGTTATAATATGCACAGCATTTTCTAACATGGGCAATGAAATGATTAGAATGTCTTTGCAAGTCCAATTTTATCTGTCCCCATTCCACGTGTGCAATAAATCCAAATCATTGCAAAATTGTCTTTTTCTTTCCTTTATTTAGCCATTTGGAATGTATAGTCAATTTTTCAGGTCAAAGCTAATTGCTACATCGTATAACACCATGTTGTTACAGATTAAATCCTTCTAAAATCCTTCAATCCTTAAAAAAAATCCTTAAAAGCCTTAAATCCTTCTAAAATAGAGCAATAGCCAGCCCGACAGCTACCTATAAAGAACAATTGAAGAGAAAGATCAGCACCACCATAAAAATAGGCTAAATACCTCAGAGTAATAAATATAAACCATAATTATTCAGAGTACCTGAAAGTTAAGTAAAAAAAAGACAGAAATTAAAACAAATAGTTGCACAAATAAGAAATCCCACTTAAAGCTAAATTCATTGAACTGCAATCCACATTGTGGGCTGGAAAGCAGGGTTGGAAAGCAGGGTTGCAAGACTGGACAACTGATTGTGAGATTAGTGAACAAGCACAGTTATCCTAATGATTATGAGGGTGAACAGGGGTTGTGCAAATATTTATCTGGTGAAAAGAGATCTCAAGTGAAAAAAAATTAAGAAGCTCTGCACTTGTGAATAATGGTGTGGTCTTGCACTGAAGTTACAATCACAAAGTTGGGAGAGACAATAGTTGAGGCCACCTAGCTCTTAACCCTTGCATTTAGTATTAAATGGGTGTTCAGGAGATGGCTGCCAACTTGATTTTTCCATGATTGGTCCAGGTAATTTAATTGACCAAAGCAAAGCGATCTATCGCATCTAACTAAATGGTGATTGAATCTCACTTTTATACCATCAGTGAGTTGGCATTTCCATCCACCACAATATAGGAAAGGAAAAGGTGGGAGGCAGTCTACTGAAAGACTCAACTATCTCACCAGCAGAAGAAAAAGTGAGGTCCCTTCTATGGCCACTGCATAACCCCAGAACACCACCTCTCAGTGAATACTCTCCAACATTTCACAAAGAGAAAGTGGGACTTGAGTGAAATCAACATCAGTGTGGAGAGGCTGCAACAATTTGCTTCTCCTCTCTCCTCTTCATTTGTGCAAACTACTTTTGTATGTTGAAAACAGGTTTTCAACACTTGAGGTAACTTGAGGGAAAAGGGACGGGAGGAAGAGTCATTCTTAAAAAAACTGAAAAAAAGCATGAGGGCAGAGAATAATCACTACAGTCCTTGTCAAGTTGGAGGTTATAGTAATGGAAAGGCTGAGTCTCTTCTCCATCTTTCCTGTTAAACTTACAAGCTTTCTGTCTATTATATACTTTCAGCATACATTGTATAGAAACAATGGGTGGCTTTCTAAATACATGTAAAGCACAGAACACAGTGTGCCTTCCAACTCAGTTGATTGTCAAAAAGATTGCCCAGTAGTGAGTTAGATAGGATTGTAGTAGAGTCTTGGGAACAATTTGGAGAGAACAGGAACGAGATTCTATTGCTTACATTTTGGTCCCTCCCCCCTTTGTTAAAGGATGGTTGCAAATTTAGGAGTGTACTCAAATTTTCTGGACTCAAATGTGCTGTAAAATGCATGAATACATTTTGAGATTTATGTTTTTTCCTCTATAGCTATAGGATGGAGAAAAGATCAAAGCTGTAGCTCCTATGAATGGTGCTGTAATTTTTTTAAAATGTTGCCCTTTGACATGATTCTGATGAAGAGTAATTCCTCCCCACCCCACATTAATGATATCACCGTTCCAGAAATGGTTAAGCTATTTCTTAAATTGTGGGGATTTGGATGGGGAATTACCAGGGATAATAGAATTCTGTCTGAGCCACTACCAATCAGATTGTACACTATTTGGCTAGATCAGGCATTCCCAAACTGCAGACCTACAGCTGTTTGGGCCTCTAACTCTCGGAATTCCTGACTATTGAACAAACTGGCAGGAGCTTCTGAGAACTGGAGGGCTGCTGTTTGAGGATGCCTGGGTTTAATGGTCTAATTTGATATGAGATGGTTTCTTTGGTTCACCCTAAAGCTACTAACTGTGAGCGTAAAGCTTCCATTGGCTATTGTAGCGCAGACCTTGTCAGGAGATCCTTACTTAAAGGTAAAAATACAAGTGTTGAGGTTGTGTTTCTCCAGAATCATAGTCCAACAATCAAACCAGTCTACTTTGCTCAGATGAATTCCCACCTTTAATCTTATGTCATCACATCTGTCTTGCTTCCTTTTCAGATGATCCTAATACTGTTCTATATGTAGTCCAGTCAAAGCTCTTGTGTTATAAACTTTTGTGTATTGAAGTTCACTTCATCAGAGGCATGGAGTGAAGAAGTAGACTAGAGCATGGCTTTTTAAACTTTTTCACTCAGGACCCCTTTTGGCCCAAAAACTTTTTACATGATCTCAGGCATATAAATATATAAAATAGATATAAAAATTAAACATTTACTGATAACTAATCATCATTTGCAAGGATTGCTAAGCAGACTGATTTTCCTATTTGTGGAATACAGCTGAAGCTTCTTCAAAGTCCACTGTAAACACTGTACAACAAATCCATGTAAACACCTAAAACAACCACTAGGTGGCATTCATAAAACATTTTCGGGACCCCAACAATGAGCTAAGGGGGGCCCATTTGGGGTAGGGACCCACAGTTTAAGATGCCCTGGACTAAAGCTGCTAAAAGGCTGTTGCCAACATAAATTTGTTAGTATTTGAATGTCTCACAAGGATCTTTTCTATGGCTGTCCCTCCAGTAATAGAAATGTAATAATATGCATATAAAAGTCAACAATATTTCCTCCTTGTCTATATATTATCTGAAAATGTAAAGGATATCAGGTACAAATTTATTGCATTTGCAGTTATTTAAGTGGAGATGCACTTTCACATGACTTTCCTGTTGAAATGGCTATAGAAAACAAAGCAAATACTGAAATTTGTTTGTCTCAGCCCTTACTTGCTTTGTTGTATTTGCATCTACTCTGAGCCTCTAGAAGTGAGTGCCAACCATCATGGAGCTGTCAGATACAAGCAACATTGATCAGAGTGGGGGCTGGAGGAACAAGTTGTTTGCTGAGTGATATCACCCATTTGCTGTCATGATTTATTGGGGGAATCATCTTGTGATGAGGGAAGCGCATCGAATAAAAAACCAACCTTAATTTGTAAAGGTGTGCGTCATGCCATTACTCATGAGCAGTTAACAATTTTTTTCTTGCATTTACGGATTTGATGTTACAAGTCGAGTGACTGGTTGGTTGTCAAATCTACTGAAGCAAGAGGAAGACTTTTCATGATTTGATTTCCCCCATAAATCACCGGAAAAAAATATGTTGCAAATTAGATATCACTTAATTATGAAGGGGTGCCTGGCTTCGGTTTTTGAGATTCCAGCAAGTTCTTAAAGATCTCAGTATATGTGAATTCACACATAATTTTAAAATCATAGTATTTTACTGCTGTGATGGTTCTCATCATAGTAGTATCTGAAACATTAATACGAATTGTTATATGACTTAGGATCAATATATCTAAAGGAGAACCCTTCTCAATATTCCATCCTCAATTATTATTAAGGTTTTCTTGAAATTTTTTTCTCTGTGTTGGTTTCTACAGTGTATAATTGATAGATACTAGGTAAAGAACAATCCACACAGTGATCCCTAATTGCTACTTCATTGTGAACCCAGAGGAATGCCTTGTCAAAAGAAATCTGTCCGACACTCTTATTATAATAAATTCAAGCTTCAGATTTAGGCCTTTCTCTTCTGCCAGACATTTAATATATATAGCTTCATTTCTGACCCAGTATATTTAATATTTTAACATTTTAATATTGAAATTGACTGCTTTATTATTTTATTATTGTTTTACTTGACAAATATTGTTTTTTTATATATAAAAGAAATGATTACTAACTACCATGAGGACATTTGCTATTTGGGCAGTTAAAAACTTTTATTAAGCATATATATTACAAACGAAATATTACAAACAACTGGCCTGTTGTTGTTTTTGATAAGTAAAACAAAAGAGAGTGTTTTCAGCATTTGTTATCAATTGATATTTGATAGATTAATTAGAATAAACACACAATAAAATATAAAATATGATTTGTTTGACAAAATCTTTTAAAATTGCTTTTGGTCATGTAAATACCTTTACTCTCATATAGTAACAGCATATATTGTTTTGTTCCTTTTCTTACAGGTTTTGCCTGGCATTCTGCAGAAGCATTGCTGTATTTTACCAGATCGGAATACAGGTAACCATTAGGTTCTTTTAATTCAGATTTTCTCAGCATGCCTTCCAAGCTATGGTGGACTACAACATCCATGGCCACTTTGTTTAGGATGATAGAAGTTTTCATGTAGCATATTTCAAAGGCACTAGTTTGACACAAGCTACTTGAATGGATCCCATTGAACTGAGAGAAGAAGTTGTAAAAACTGCACATGGATCAGAGGTTTTCCTTGCTGCTTCCCATGAGGGATGTTGAAATAATGGAAACTGTGAGATATGGATTATTTAATACAACCTAGTCCCTGAATTTACATTTATAGATCTTTATAGAATACAATGTTTACACAATACATGCCATTTGAGGTCATTACTTTTCTCAGAAATTAATTTTAGCGGTTGCTATTTTGAATGGCACGTATCTGTTCCTGAACCATGTTTTTTGAAAACAGATTTCTGCTTATGCATTTAAGAAAAATCCACAAACTTACCATGTGTTTATACTGTGTAAATTCTGTGACTTTATAGTCTCATTAGCTTTAAACTGTGTATCTGTATACGGAGCTGAAAATGACATTGAGTTGCTTCTTACTATTGTGTGAGAGGAATAATTTGGAATGACCCAATTTTGACTATATAAGTTCAGTTTTAAAAATGTTACAATTTGCTAGTTGCAAGTTAATTTCTGGTATACTGCATGCAGTTGATTGTAAGTAATAGTGTGTTAAAGGCATGTGTCCTAATACTCTGAAGCTTGTCTTCATGCCTAAATCTAATTAGAATTATTTACTACTTGGTGCTCTAAAGAACAGATGCTTTTACTCTTGCATTTAAGACAGGTATGGTAGGCAACTAGAGACTAAAAGTTGAGTTATGCCTTCTTATATCTATGTCTGAGATACTGTTTCAGCCTGATATACCAATGAAATACTTGGATACTGCCTGAGGATTAGATTGACCCCATCTATTCATATAAATGGTTATTAACTCTATCTCTGTCAACCTTGACTGTCCATACAAGGATCTCCCATCTGAATCAGGCTTAATCTGTTTGTACAGGCAGTAAACTCCTAGACAAAAATCTGAGATGCAACCGCATAGTTTGTCCTATGTACACAGGATTTTAGCTTTGATGGATCCTCCTCATCATGGAGAGCATACTGTTGCTCTTTAGCTGGCCAAGCATTTAGTGGCCAGTCATCAAGGACCAAACCAAGAAAGATCTCCCAATGATGGCCTTTCCTCCTCCAGCAAGCTGATCCTTGTTGCCTGAAGGCAATCAACTAGGGCTGGGCGGTTTCTTTTCGTTAATTCGTAATTCGTTAAAAATTCGTTATTTTTTTATAACGAAGCGATAACGAACCATTCTGGAGCAAATTAAAAATGAAACGAATTTTTAAATTCGTTTTGTAAATGCTTCGGATTCGTTATGTATTTGTTTCGTTATCGGTTTGAGGTCATTTCGTTATTATTTCCGCATGTCTGGGGCAAGTTTTATAGTTGTTTTTTGTTTAATTAGTGAAAAAAAATTATAATATCACACCAACAGTCAACAACAGAGGGAGAGGGAAGCTTCAGAAGTTCCCCCTGTCCCATTTGGAGGTTTTTTAGCGTATTGCGCGGTCGCGTCCGCCATTAACGAATCAATTCGTTATTGTTTCGTTAATGTTTCGTATTTTTTTTAACATTTACGAAATTTTTTAAAAGAAAAAATTCGGAATTCTTTTAAATATCGAAACGCAAAAAACCCCAAATAACGAATCGATTTTAGAAACAAATTTTTCCGTTGTTACCCAGGCCTACACTCAACCAACAGTATTTGATTGACCATTTTCATATAACCTTTTGTTTTTGCAATGACTTCTGGGATTGGAATCTGTGTTATTTCTCAAGAAGTGTTGAGAATGTTTGCAGAACTTCAAACCAGTGTGTCCAGCTAATTATTCTTTAGGCACCTGTTTCTATTGTGGTAGTCGAGGGCTGCACAAAGTGTGAGCCCTCTTGGCATAGAAGCCTGAGAAGCTTCAGTCCATCATCACATTTTGCCTAATGCTGGGACATAGAGTGAAAGGTAGAGTGGAATCTTTACATTGACACCATCCATATGACCAGATTGGATCCATATAAGCCAGTGGTTCCCAACCTTTTTTTATCATGGAGAACTTTGACCAGGGACCAATTGACCAAGGACCAGTTGACCAGGGACCATTCTCCAACATTAGTACCAAAAGGATTATGAATCAGTTTTGGTCAATTTTATATTTGGTTTGGTTATTTGGGGTGCTGGTTCAGAAAACTATATTGGATAGACCACATCATCTCTAGTTTCTGAAACAGAACATATGCCATCCTGTAAGCTCACAGCAGCCGCTCTCAATAACGACACAGGACGCCAATCCGTAATCAATCAGGAACTTTTACTGCTGGACATTCATACACGAAGAAAGCCAGGGTTGACGGGCTTATATACCCTCCCTCACAATTGAACTTCCCTTTCCCGCCAACCGAAAGTCCCGCGCAATATTCCCCGCCAAATGCCAACTGCTTCCCCCAAGGTCACCAGCTGCACATTCTTATCAGCATTACATGTCAGGATCCTGGTTTTTAGCGCCAAAACTCAAGGCCTGGAAACCGGCTCCTGACACCATCCAGTAGTCACCATCTGCTCACCCAAAGAAAACCATATTTAATAATCTAGAGCCACAGACCTTATTTTAGGGAACCACTGATATAGGCCAAGGGTGGACAGCAAAAGTATGCAAATAATTGTAGAATTGCAACGTATATCACACTTCCGGACACCTTTTCAACATGGTTCATGGTGATAACTGCAAACCAAAATGTGGAAGGAGCATAGTAGCCAATAGTAATCAAATCCATGAATTATAACCTTATTAAAATAATATGCATTAACGCAACCTCATTCAAGGGGTAGCGAATGAAATGGAGTCCACAGAGAGCTTGCTTTACAAATATGGGAACAGAAGAGTTTGAAAAACAGATGGAAACAAAGAAAAGAACATTGCAATGATTGCTAATTAGTTTAGCTAATTAGTTTAAATGTCTAAAAAGTATAAAATTAGTTCTGAGTAATGATTAATACTTGATACGGTGATCTCTCCCCCAAAATAAAACAATTGACTCCTCAGCCATGCATAAAATAGACCCATTGAATTCAGTAGGATTTAAATAGGAACCATTTATCCAAAGCCTGTGAACTCAAAGTGTGACTAAGTCTAAATTTGATCCAGTTCATCTCGCTCTGTTTTTAAACATTTGACATAACCTCTTCTGTGCTTAGCAATATAATTAAAACTGTTTGGCAGATGAAATACAGAGAGACAAGGCAGTGAACATCTACTGAAAAGGTGTCTGGATTCTCAAACCAAACATTTAGTGTGGTTTTATGTATCCATTATACTATAAAGGTGTTCATCTACTAGAAGGGAGAGCAGCTAAGGGTCCCTGGAAAATACTAATTACCCTTGCAGTTATCAGTTAAACTTGCTCTGCATTCCACTGGTATTAGAGTTTGTAACTGTCGAGAAGCTGTGCTTTTGCGTCTCCTATAAGAAATTGATTATGCATTATGCAGCTTCTAACACATACAGATTTGTATTAATTGTTTAGGCCATAGTCTCCTCTTTAGATTACTTCAAAACTATATTCAGTAGGAATATTACTTGGTGGCTCTATTTTAAGTCATGTTAATTGTGTATTAGGAATAAATAAAATAGTATCCTCTAAAATATACAAGAAAAAATAAAGTTCCATTTGGTGAAGCTTGTGACATCTTGAGAAAAAGCTTGCTGCACATAGTTATCCATGTGGGAGTTGCAGTTTTGCTCTACAGCCCCCAACAACTCCAGCTAGTAATTTTGAAGCCAAAATTCAGCTTACCTACCAAGGAGTGGTCTGAGGATCTAGTGCTTGGCGCACCCTGCTACTTTGCCAGCCAGATGAAGATACACAAACTGGGTTGAAGGCAGCAGGAACAGAGGTTATTTATTTTTAGACTTGAAAGGATGTCTGACACAGAGTCTCAGTTCAAAAGGAATGGGACATAACCAAGCTATACAATGCAAAGCATTTTATCCCCTTTGACAACTATTCAAAGTCCCTGCACACCATGCCGATTGATCCAAAATCAGCCCAGTTTCAATTGAGGTCATTGGTTGGAGAATCCTCCTAATATCAGGGGTGGACGGAGTCTTCTCTCTGGCAGGAAAAATAGACAGCTGTCATTGGTAGACTTGAAGCTGGAGTCATTTGAAAAGGCCCACTCAAAAAGGAGATGGGCAGGTAAACATATGGTAAACCAGTGTATATAAAGTTCATGATAAGATTATGGTCTGGTTTGTACAAAGGGTGAGCCTCCAAATACAATAGGGTTGTTATGCAAATATTATTAGTTCAATGAAAAACATGCAGATTTTATCTGTATGGTTTTGGAGTCTGCCAGCATCTTCTCTCCGGATTTAGTTTCTGTTGAAAGAATTTGGGTTTTCCAGTTGGCATTGTCTTCTCTTAATGGACTCACCTTATGGTAGATGGGCAGCCAGCAAAACCTCCCTGGGCACATACATAGACAACAAGGATATTTTGTTAGTATTTTTCAAATACGCTGGACTGCATTTATACAAACATGATTCCCCGCTCCAATGTATCCTAGTTATTTTTAATATAAAACATATATGCATGGGTCTCAGAAGGATTGTAATTATAAATGGCAATTTGAGAAAAACCATAGCTGTATAGTTTTGAAGCATGGAACAAAACCTCTTTTGCTAGGGAATTTGGGATAGGCTTATTGTTCTGGATTTCATGGGCATGCTTCACTTCCCTCTTGGGACTAGTCTGATAAAAGGTTAATTAATCTCTGCAGAATGTGTAGTTTCTGCCTGGGCTGCTGAAAATTAAATCTATTGCGGACCATCGGGAAAGTGATGTTTCAATACTGTGAAACTTAATATAGTGTAAAAATAAATGATAAAATTAATATTTTGGCTTTGAAACTTGTGTTGA